AACAAAGTTACTGGGTTAATCTTTTTCACGTTTCCTTGGTTGGTAGATGCACCGGAGACCTGATTATAGCACTTAAAACCTGGAAATGTCAGATTTTCATGATATGTCAGCTTTAATAAAAACAACTGTTCAATGTTAGTTAATGTACATTAATATTAACAGATACAACGTTTTTAATTTTAATAATGTATTAGTAGATGCTGAAATTAACATAACACATTAAAAGTATTTTTCATTGTTAATTTGTTTACTGATATAGTTAACTAATGGAACCTTGTTGAAAAGTGATTTATTCAAAAATGATATATTGAGTTATGATTGCATTAGTGTTTTTTGCCTCTATTTTGAACAAAGCATACAAAAATTTACACTTACAGCAGTTTTCACTTAAATTCAAATTAATAGGTAACACTTTACAACAAGGTCTAGTTAGTTCATGTTATTTAATGCATTAACTGACAAGTACCAATACATTTTGATACAATATTTATTATCTTTGTAACCATTAAATACAGTTAATAAAACACAACTGTTCATTGTTAGTTCATGTACATTAAATAACATTAACAGATGTTTGATTTTAGTAATGTACTAGTAAATGTCAAAATTAAAATAAAGATTAATAAATGCTTTAGAAATATTTTTCATTATTCGTTCATTTTAACTAATGCAGTCGACTAATAAATAAAAAATAAAACCGTATTGTAGTGTTGCCATGAAAAGAAATATTGGAAATAAAAATCATTAAATTATATATTTAGATAAAATATACGTTTTTTTTGGCTCCGTTTCGAACAAAGTGTTGTAAAATCTACGCTTTCAGCAGTTTCCGATTCCTTAAATTCAAATAAATTCCGTTTCAAATTCATGAATTAAACAGCTGTTTAAAAGGCATTCTCAGTTCAGTTCTGAATGATGCACAGCCCTGGTATCCATCAAAACAAATCACAAATGACTTACAAGTGATTTTCATGTCTGTCCTTTTGTTTCTTTCCTAGAAAACGAATGCACCCCTCGCCAGCAGCTCTTGGAGCATTTCTTGCGTTTGCTACAGAGGTGAGCCTCTGAAAAAGCAGATGGCGTTGTAATTCTAATCTTTCCTCATATCTGCATTATATAAGGACAGTCTTTCTGTCTCGACAGGAAAGATGCACACGGATTCTTTGCCTTCCCGGTGACAGACGCCATTGCTCCAGGATACTCCATGATAATCAAACATCCCATGGACTTTAGCACAATGAAGGACAAAATCGATGCAAACGAATACAAAACTATCACAGAATTCAAGGTACGCAAGTGTCCCGCTCTTTTTATCTTCATTTGTCTTCATATTAGGCTTTAATAAAAAGACTTTTAACTATAAAAGTGTAACTGATTTCGATCTGATGTGTGACTCTCCAGGCAGACTTCAAGCTGATGTGTGACAACGCCATGGTTTATAACCGACCGGAGACGGTTTACTACAAGGCCGCTAAGAAACTTCTCCACACAGGATTCAAAATGATGAGCAAAGTAACATTTTTAATGCAGTTTGGTTACTTTTTGCCTTTGTTGTTCATCCGTGCCATCATTCCCATTCGATTCGGATGCGTGTGGTTATAGTAATCTAAATAAAACTTGGGTACAGGGTTATTATAGTTAACTAAAACTAAAAGCATAAAAAAAAAATTTTTTTGTTAGTTGACATAAAATATATGTAACTTTAATAACTAAAACTTATTTTATTTCAGCTAGCTGCCAATGCGACATTTCTCAATTTCATTTAGTTTAACTAAAATAACTCAAACGAAATAAACTAAAGCTAGTAAATAAAAATATATAAATAATAGCAATGACAAAAACACAACAAAATTACTAAACTTTTACTAAAATTAAAGTTAAAACAGAAAATATAAAAGATCAAATCTGATTCAGAATATATACAAAAACTATTAAACTAGTAAAAATGTTTTTATTGTGTACTTTTTAAATTAAATACAGTATTTTCCATTACAAATGATATGATCAGGATAATAGTCGATATGATTTGGGAATGTTACAAAGAGCATTTTTTGTTCATGAATGGAAGCTGTCTTTTTCACATCATCTGAAATATTAGGGAATTTTAAAGTTGTGATTGCAAAGCCTGGAACTTTCATAAGACAAAATTAATCAAATATAGTTTAATAAAAATTTATAAATTCATTTAAAAAAAATTAAAAATATAAAAAAGTGGTGGAAAAGTCTGTTAAATATATTTAAATTATTGAATATATAATAGGGTATAATATATCTTATGTAGTTGCAATAAATAATATTATATTATATTCTGTACATTAAAATAGAATTTAAGATGATACTTAATTGTATAGATTTTGTTCTTTGTGGCCTAGAAATAGTAGAGCAGAATTTATTAATTTTTTCCTAATTTAATAATTTTTCCAAAATCCTAAAACTGTTTGTTTTTAGTATTAGATGGGACAAAGATCCCAGACTTTAATCACCACACTGTTATTTTATTGCATTAGTGAGATTTTTCTCGAGTGCTCTGTGCATTCAGAGACGAGTATTTGCACCATCCAATCACTTTCTTAATTTCAATCCATCCCGTGTTGGATGTCCCGTGTCTCCCATCCTCATGGCCTGCCTAAGACCTCCGCAGGAGGAGTAAATGGGTGCTGTGTTGCTCTATTTGTGCTCTGTTCACAGGAGCGGCTGTTAGCTTTGAAGCGCAGCATGACGTTTATGCAGGACATGGATTTCTCTCAGCAGGCTGCCATTTTGGGAGATGACCACATCACACCTGAGGAACCGGTGACGGAGATCCTGCCGATCCACACGGAGTACCCCAAAAAGTCCAAGAAGCAGCCTGTAAAAGAGCCTATCATCAGGTAAAGCAGTGATCTGCAGCGCTTTTGAATGTTTCTCGTGTTTGTGAGTGTGTGACTGAGCAGATGTGTTGCTCGTCTAGTGATCTGTATGAGCTGGAGGGCAACGCCTGCAGTTCGACGGACAGCACGGCGGAGGAGCATGTGTTGGCGCTGGTGGAGCACGCTGCGGATGAAGCGCGGGATCGAATCAATAGTTTCATGCCGAACTCTAAGGTGCAGCCGAGCTGTAACCTCATGTTTCTAACACTCACAAAGTTTTGCACGTGTTGAAAATCTGGGTACAACGTTTGAGTTGCGGGTCATGCCAAATATTATGGAAGCATAAGGGTAGCAACATTCATTTTGAAATGTAATATGCGAAATGGCAATGCATTTGGCAATGATTTTCTGTATTTAAATGTATATTTTCCCGTACATATGTGACCATGGACCAGGTCATAGGGGTACATTTTTCAAAATATGAAAGCTGAATAAATAATCTTTCCACTGATGTATGGTTTGTTGGGATAGGACAATATTTGACTGAGATACAACTATTTGAAAATCTGGAATCTGAGGGTGCATATTGAGAAAATCGCCTTTAAAGTTGTCCAAATGAGTTCTTAGCAATGCATATTGCTAATCAAAAATTAAGTTTTAATATATTTATGGTGAGACATTTACAAAATATCTTCATGGAGCATGATCTTTACTTAATATCCTAATGATTTTTGGCATAAACGAAAAATTGGATCATTTTGACCCATACAATGTATTGTTGGCTATTGCTACAAATATCCCCCAGCGACTTAACACTTCAATGTTTAGTGCAAAAATGAAAAAGAAAATTAAATTAAATGTAAAATTAAATTATATAATTTTCATATTGAAGCATATGGGTAGCAATATTCATTTTGAAATGTAATATGCAATTGAGAAAATCGCCTTTAAAGTTGTCCAAATGAGTTCTTAGCAATGCATATTGCTAATCAAAAATTAAGTTTTAATATATTTATGGTGAGACATTTACAAAATATCTTCATGGAGCATGATCTTTACTTAATATCCTAATGATTTTTGGCATAAACGAAAAATTGGATCATTTTGACCCATACAATGTATTGTTGGCTATTGCTACAAATATACCCCAGCGACTTAACACTTCAATGTTTAGTGCAAAATGAAAAAGAAAATTAAATTAAATGTAAAATTAAATTATATAATTTTCATATTGAAGCATATGGGTAGCAATATTCATTTTGAAATGTAATATGCATAATTGCAATGCAATATGTTAAAATGGCGATGTATTTTTGTATTTAAATTGATATTTTCCCATGCATATGTGCAATGTTTAGTGCAAAATAAAAAATTAATTATACTGTATAATTTACATTTTCCATTATATAAATGTAAATATAGAAATACATTGCCATTTTACATATTGCATTTCAAAATGAATATTGCAACGCATATGCTTCCATAAAAAAATCAACACTACACAAAAAAGCAAAAGAGACATGTACAAGCAGAAAACATCTATTGTGGTTTGTCAGATACTAAAAAATATTAAATATGAAAAAGTATGAACTCCTGTTTTGTTTTAAAAAATAAAAGTTCCTCCCTTTCTGTTTCAGGTCAATTCGACTCAAAAATGAGCTCGACTTAAATTAACATCTGAGACCACTAGTGAAAACGCTTCTTATGTGTGTGCTTTTGTTTATTTAAATGCAACACCTTTCATTACAAATTATATGATCAGGATGAAAGTCAACATGATTCGAGGACATTCCAACGAAAGAGCATCTTTTGTTCATGAATGGAAGCAAGAACATCTAACCTTTTTAGGATTCCCATTGTCAGAAATATCATGCGATTTTAATATTTTGATTTCAAAGCCTGGAAAACTGATTAACATATAATCAGATCTATAAAACTGATATAAATGTCTATGAAATATGTTAAAATTATAATGTAATGTGTAATAATGTTTTTTTAAGGTAATGTTGCTTTGAATAAATCTTGCCCTTTTGTGACCTAGAAATATTAAAAAAGCAGAATCTTAAATATTTCTTCTTCATTTTCCTAATTTTATTATTATTTTCAAGATCAAATCGAGTGTGGGTCAAACTGAGGATAAAAATGAATAATTTATATAATTTCCTAATGCTTTCAGCTTTTAATAAGATAATATTCGCAGTTTAAATTAAATATTACATAAGCAATCAGCAGATTCTGTCTGGTCTGTACTATATGTTGTTCCCTCGACCACATCAGGAGTTGTGTAATGTGGTAGACTGGTTGTAGAAACAATGTTTATTGCACTATTACCATAGTTTATTACCCCTAACCAGAACATTTGTTTTATTTTGCATGTAGATTGGGTACCTTAAAAAGGACTCTGAAGGTTCCCTCATCTACACTGTTGTAAATCAAGATCCTGAAGCAGAAGGTATGAGCATCATACTACTTTATATAGCGGACTATATATATGTATGTGTATAAAAATAGCTGAACCGGTAAACAACGAGGTGGTAATAATCACAATTATGCACAGTGTTTAGAAAATTAACCCTGTAAAGTCTGAAATATGAAATAATTGTCAGAATTTTTATTTTATTTTAATTGAAACAGATAAATGAATCGTTAGACAAAACATTTAAAAAAAAACGTTGTATTTGTGTGTATTGTTGAGTATCATATTTGATCCATCAGGCTTTTATGGCATGATATAGTGACAATACAGAGGAAAAACAGCTCAAACTAAGCAAAACTTTTGTTCCAGATGATGTTTATATGGACAAAAAGATGAAATTGTGATGTGTTTGTAATGTGAATCAATGAGATCCGTATAACAGTATAGAAGATACCTATATAAAATGATATAATTATAAGTCGTCACTCTATATCTCAAATGATGTGTCTTAGTTAAATGATATTTAAATGATCCAAACATATAATGCAATGCAATCCAATGATGATTGAGAGATGAACAAATAAACGCTCCTCAAAAGCCTGATGATCAGATTTGGTACTCACTGATTTTTATAAAAAATATGATACAATAGGCTTTAAAGGGATAAAAATGTCACTTTATGTCAGAAAGGTTGCTGACTTTGTTGTAGAAAGTTTATCCAGAGCAATAATATCATGTGTCTGAAGGATATATGTGACCCTGGACCACAAAACTGTAAATTTTTGAGATTTATGCATCATCTGAAAGCTGAATAAATAAGCTTTGGTATTATTGTTAGAATAGGACAATATTTGGTCGAGATACAACTATTTGAAAATCTGAGAGTGCAAAAAAATCTAAATATTGAGAAAATCATCTTTAAAGTTGTTCAAATGAAGTTCTTAGCAATGCATATTACTAATCAAAAATGAAGTTTTGATATATTTACAGTAGGAAATTTACAAAATATCTTAATGGAGCATGATCTTTACATAATATCCTAATGATTTTTGGCATAAAAGAAAAATCGATAATTTTGACCCATACAATGTATTGTTGGCTATTGCTACAAATATACCCCAGCGACTTAACACTGCTTTTGTGCTCCAGGCTCACATATTGATTATTGTTTACAGAGGAAGAGACTCATCCTATAGATTTGAGCACTTTGGCGAATAAGCTCATACCTGGACTGACGTCGCTGGGTTTTAAAGACGACAGGAGGCACAAAGGTAACATTTTCAAGCATTAATATTATTTGTAGGGTTTTGAGTCACATTACTGTCTCTAAAATGCTCGAAGAGTCAATATTTAAATCATGACTCACAGCCAGAATCTTTGGTCTTTTTTTGCATTGGAGAAATTCTCTCCAATGAATCTGTCCTGTTGTTTGGTTTCAGTGACGTTCTTGAGCAGCGCGTACAACGCTCAGACCCTTCAGAACAACTCTGTCTATCCTGACCTGCTTCCAGAGGAGATGGACATGCTGTACTCGGCTTACGGAGATGAGACCGGGGTCCAGTGTGCTCTCAGGTGTTTAGATCAAACCCGTGGATCGGCATTATTAAGCTGTTGCGTTTGGACTCTGTTGCTTGATGGGATTTTCTGTGTCTGCGCTTCAGTCTGCAGGAGTTTGTCAAGGGTTGTGGGAGTTTTACCAAAAGGCTTGTGGGTGATTTGCTGGATAAAATGACGGCTGGCGATCATTCCAAAGCCATCATCCAAATCCGACAGGTATTAAAATAAACAAAAATGTGTCTTTTGACCTGCTTCTTTTTTTATGGTTTTTAAACATTCTCAGGGTTTTGTGATCATTGACTATCAGCAACGTGCTTCTCTTCTGTTATTTTCGTTTTTTGAAAGAAATTTCAATTTTTATTCAGCAAGGATTCATTAAATTGATCAAAAGTGACAGTAAAGACATTTTATAATTTACAAAAGATTTATATTTCAAATAAATGCTGTTCTTCTGATCTTTCTATTCATCAAAGAATCCTGAAAAATAAAATGTCACGGTTTACATAAAAATATCAGGCAGCACAACTGTTGTCAACATTGATAATAATCAGAAATGTTTCTTGAGCAGAAAATCTCAATAATAGATAGAGATTAGAAAATCTAAAATGACGGCTGGCGATCATTCCAAAGCCATCATCCAAATCCGACAGGTATTAAAATAAACAAAAATGTGTCTTTTGACCTGCTTCTTTTTTTATGGTTTTTAAACATTCTCAGGGTTTTGTGATCATTGACTATCAGCAACGTGCTTCTCTTCTGTTATTTTCGTTTTTTGAAAGAAATTTCAATTTTTATTCAGCAAGGATTCATTAAATTGATCAAAAGTGACAGTAAAGACATTTTATAATTTACAAAAGATTTATATTTCAAATAAATGCTGTTCTTCTGATCTTTCTATTCGTCAAAGAATCCTGAAAAATAAAATGTCACGGTTTACATAAAAATATCAGGCAGCACAACTGTTGTCAACATTGATAATAATCAGAAATGTTTCTTGAGCAGAAAATCTCAATAATAGATAGAGATTAGAAAATCTCAGCATATTAGAAAGATTTCTGAAGATCATGTGACACTGAAGACTGGAGTAATGATGCTGAAAATACAGCTTTGAAATCACAGAAATAAATTATATTTTATAATGTAATCACATTGTAAACGGTTATTTTACATTGCAATAATATTTCACAATTTTATTATATTTTTGATCAAATAAATGCTGCCTTGGTGAGCAGAAGAGACTTCTTTCAAAAACATCTTCAAACTTTTAAACAGTAGTGTGAAATATTATATACTGAAAATTAATATATAATAAATGTTTTTGTATTTTAGAAAAGAAACTTGCCGATTGATGACACTAAATCTAGTTTATGTGACATGCCGGTAAGAATTCTGTCTATTATCTTTCGTGCTGCAAGTTTCAAACCTCTTAAAGTGCCATTTGATGACATGTTCTCTGTGTTTCTATAGGGAACAGATGGAAGTGGCATGGAATCTGGTTCAGTGCTGGATTTCATGTCCATGAAGAGCTACCCAGACATGTCTCTAGATATGCTCAACACATTAGGTGAGTCGTATATCACACATCAGAACTTCCTGGCTGGGCAATATGAGCAAAAATTCATATCTCGGTATTTTTTGGCTGATTTGCAGTATACGGTATACATCTCGGTATTTTTTGGCTGATATACGGTATACATCGGTATTTTGGATTTGGATTAAACAAATAAAGTGAATGTAAGCATGTAGGCATATATTAAGTGCAAAAAATGGTTAAAATCACATTACATTCTAACATTGTAACATTGCAATCTAAAAACAAAAATAATGCTTTTAAAGCAGAAGAAGTTAAATTTACTAAACTAAAAACGAAAATAATAAAAAAGCAGACTTTACATTGAGTAAAAAGGCTGTTTTGATTACCCCATTACAATCACTTTACCATTAGTGCTATCATACAAATACACTCACTTGTAGGTTTAAAATTCTACATGTCACATTTATTGTCCAACTACAAATATTTCAGCAAAATGTATATTGCTCCTATTTCATTGAGCTCCGTCTGTTTGGCACGCATGCACACGGCGGCACTCGTTCTAAATGAAGTCTGTGAAGTTTAGCGGAGAATCGCAAAGCAAAAGCTCATGCACTTCTGACAGCAAAACGGAAAGATTTCCATAGCTTTCTAACATTTACAGATGGAGAATATACCTGTGAAATGTAAGTAATGCATTCAGGAAAACAGCACATCTCAAACACATTAAACACTGTCAGCCTCACACTCAGCCTTTAAACTGAAACTATTAACTATAGGCTTCTATATCTTACTAAAGCCCTTCATATAAAGCTTGTCACATGTTTAGAACAAATTGTATTATGCACTTTCTCCGCAGCAGCTCAGTCTGTGTCCTCCCTAGGTATTTTTTTCAGATGCGCTCGTATCAACTACTGTATAGCGATAGCTGATCATTGGTGTTCTTGTGATCTGCAGGTAAATGTGTGAAGAAGGAGCCGGAGCATGAAGACGGTCATCAGCACTTTGATGATGCAGCTAGACTCCTGCAGGAGTTCCAGGACGCAGCGGTGGACCGAGTCGGATCCCGACCCTCCTCCAATCTCTCGTCCCTGTCAAACACTTCAGAGAGGGATCACCACCATTTAGGTACTGAGTCATATTTAGAATTTATGCAACTTTTTAAATTTAAGCAGGGCTTGATTGTTTTATAAGAAGTTCTATTTATAGCAAATGTAAAAACCCTTTCACACCAAAAAGTGTAATGAATAAACCTCAGGTTGAAGCAAAAGTAAATTCACAAGAAACACTCTTCAGCAATAAAAAAACAGTGAAGCACAATTGTTAGTTTCTCTAAAGTCATGTTTGCTTATTAGTACGGTTGAACTGGATCATCAAAGGTCAGCAGCAAAGACATTGGTTAATAAAATGGGATTAGATACATTTGTGTTATTTAACATATTTAATTATTGCAGGTTTGCGTCATATTCTGAGTTTGCATTTCACTGTTTTAATTCATTTTGATGAATACTAAATCTGTTTTTTGTGAGTGGGATGAATTAATGCACATTCACATTTAGTCTGGAACTACAGTAACATCATGTTCACACAGCGCGCACAACTCCTCTGTACTCCCGATTTCTCTCAGCATGGGGACAGGAGAGCTGTCAGTCAATAAATGGGAAAACAAAGTAACTGGCATTACTTTTTTGAAAAAGTAACTCTGATATTGTAAATTTAAAAAGTAATGCGTTACTTAAAGTAATCTGGTTACGTAACTCACGTTACTTGTAATGCGTTACCCCCAGCACTGATCACAGGCATTCTTTTTTTGGGGGGGTGATAAATTTGTGCAAAACCTGACAAGACCAAAAAAGTCAGTTCTATGTTTGTTTGTTTTGTTTGTTTTGGTTGAGTATCATATTTTATCCATCAGGCTTTTATGAAACATATAGTCTGATATAGTGAGAATATGAAGGAAAAAAACTGTTTAATTTAATTCAGAGGCCCAAACTGAGCAAAAATATGTGTCATATTTAGAATGTATTTATTTATCATTGATAATTATAATTATTTATAATTTTATTTTATTTTTTATTTTTTTGGAGTGGTACTTTTGTGCAAAACCTGACAAGACCAAAAAAGTCGGTTCTATAAAATAATAGTCAGAATTTTTTTTTATTTTTATGGAACAGTAAATTGAACTTTTGAGCTTTTATGTCTCATATATGAGAATATAGAGGAAAAAACAGCACAATTAAATTCAGAAGCCCAAACTGAGCAAAAATATGCAATTGGCTGCAGATGCTGATATTTATATGATGTAATTCTAATGCTTGTAATGTAAATCTATGAGATCTTTATAACAGTACAGCAGATATTGACATAAAATGAACTAAATATCAGTGCTCGCTCTATATCTGCAATAATATGTCTTAGTAAGATGAGATTGAAATGCTCCAAACATATAATGCAGTGATTGAGAGCTGAAGAAATAAAGGCTCCTCCTCAGATGTGAGATGTTCTGGAGGCTTGTGAAGATCATTCCTCCGCTGAGGAACAGTGAAAGTAAAGCTTCTGGAAACAAACGCTCCTCAAAAGATCCTGATGTTCAGATTTGATCAGATTTGATCAGATTTGAGACGCACTGATTTCTCTAAAAGAGAATCAAGTAAAGCCGAGCTGCTTCAGTCCAGTAAGTGTCCATCTGGAAATATTGCTGACGTTTACTTGATAAAAATCAGATTTGACAGCTAAAAGACACGTGAAGCACCAGCTGAAGCTGGATGTTTGTACAATTACACTAAAAGAGCTTTTACTGGAAAAACGATCAAGTAGACGAGCAGAAGGCGTGCAGTAGATCATGTCGATCATTTAGAGGCCTCTGCGTATCAAATATGATACAGTAGCTTTATAG